AGACACATCGATTGCCTCCAGGACACACTCCAACTAGGGCCAGGTATGGAATCTATAACAAAGAACCCACAACCCTATGCTCTAACCACTGAGAACATTGCCCAGGACTCCATACATTTTTAACTGCTTAACATAAAAATTCTATACCTTTAGACAAAAAAACATTTTATCAAAGTAATTTCTTAAGTCACACAATGAGGAAGATTTATTCTGTTTTGTTATCATCCATAAAATTTAATAACATACATTCTTAAAAAGAAGGGGTGTAGGCCAAATTTGAGAAGAATATATCATTTGTATTCACTTAGTATGATAATCCAAATCAAAGGAAAATGAAATTTCTAATATACTGAGTCATTCTTAGACACAAAATACAGATGATATGATTATTTCAAGGTTAGTTATGCTTCTTAATTTATTAATCTGCTCAATATTTAATTTATTTTTTTATTTATTATTTATAGAGAGGAAGGGAAAAGGATAGTTAGAAAAATGGAATAGAGAGAAACATCCATCAGCTGCCTCCTATACACCTCCTACTGGGGATGTGCCCGCAACCAAGGTACATGCCCTTGACCGGAATCAAACCTCGAATCCTTCAGTCCACAGGGCAATGTTCTATCCATTTAGCCAAACCAGTTAGGGCTACATTATTTTTTATTGATTTCAGAGAGGAAGGGAGAAGGAGACAGATATAAAATCAATGAAAAGAGAGAATCACTGATCAGCTGACGCACGCATGCCCCCTATTGGGGATTGAGCCTGCAAACTGGGCATTTGCCCTTGACCAGAACTGAACCAGAACCCTTCAGTCCACAGGCCGATGCTCTATCCACTGAGCCAAACCAGCTAAGGACATCTGCTTATTCGTTTGGTCATTAGGTATTTATTAAATGTCTAGTGAAATGTAATTTGCATAGTTAATACTCTCAATAGTCACTTGACTAAAAAAGATCAACCAGTACAATATAAAATTCTACTAGTCCCAAAGGAATGATAAAACATCCAAATAGCTTTGGTCACTTAGGCAGTATTACTCAAGGTGATCATGCTGATTGAGAATCATTATGAACAGGATAAAATCACAACATGACTATATATTGGACTTATTTACTTATTAAAATCAGATCACATCAACAATACAATGTGTGTTGCCACATGTTAGTTTTCTCAGTTCAAGAGTATTTATCTACTCCTTTGTTGGTTAATTATTTTATGCCATACTAACAGCTAGCTACATGTTAAAATAAAAGTATGTAGAAAATATTTTTTCTGAAGATCTAGAATAAGAGGATAATTATACAAAATCCAAAAACTAATTTAAAAAAATCATCTTAAACCAGTCCAAGCTTTGTTTGACCTGGTGTTTTTTGTTTGACTCTGTTAAAAACTTGAGTTAATGCCCAGCCAGTATGGCACAGTGGCTGGTCATGGTTTTATTCCTGGTCGGGTCACATGCCTGGGTTGCAGGTACCATCCCCAGTGGGGGCTTTGCAGGAGGCAGCTGATTAATGATTAATATTTCTATCTGTCTCTCCCTCTCTTCCTCTCTGAAATCAATAAATATTATATACAAGCCTCAGCAATGGTTAGACTATTTGACCAGTAGCTATCATGCACACTGACCACCATGGGGCAGACGCTCAACGCACAGGCCTAGAAACACGGAATAGACTAATAAATCTCAGAGGGAGGGGGAAAGAAGGAAGAGATTAAGCAAAGATCTTTTATGCATATTAGAGGCCCAGTACACGAATCTGTGGGGTCCATCGGCCTGGCCTGAAGGGATTGGGCTGAATCTGTGCACTGGGCCTCTGACTTCCCCTGGATTGTGAGATGATGTAGGCTGGGTAGAAGGACCCCACCAGTGCACGAATCTGTGCACTGGGCCTCATAAAATATATGTTTATTTTAAAAATTGAGTTAAAGTCCTCAATTTTAAGCCACTCTATCTAAAAAAATGGATAGGATCATTCAAAAGAAGTTTTGATCATTACAACTAAAATTCAAAATAAAAGTCCTATTTAAATAAGTAGAAAGAAGTTCAAATATATAACAATATGGCCCCTATAATAACAACTAATTCTTAAGAGAGATAATATATATTTGAAATATAAAATCATAGTATTTTAGATAATCTTGTATATTCCTGAGCCCACACTCATAATAAAAATTAAAAAAAACCATTATGTACTGAGTGATTAGTATGTTTTGCTATATATTTTTTTGCATTTAAGGTAAATAATCCAGTAAACTACTAATATCCCTATAATGATGGAAACTAAAGCACAAAAAAGGCAATAACACACTCAGATTTAGACTAATAAGAAATAGTAAACTTTAGATTTGAACCCAAGTCTGACACACATATAATAGTTATATTAGGAAGCCTTTATGATAAAACAAGCCACAAAAATTATCTTACCCAAATAAAGCCTACTTTTAAAGGCTCCAGGAAATAAGATTATTATTTCAATAAATTATTTTAATCCTAAGCCCTTTATATCGAGTAAAACTCATCAAAGTTTATATAATGGCAGAGTAGTGCCAATAAAGGTTAAGTCTTATTGAAAAAGAAAAAAACTTATTAAAAATGACTACTGAGTGGAGGAAAATTCATGGGACCTAAAATGCTACAATTTGAAACACAGAAGGAAAATAACTTATTTTAGAGATTTGCTCAATTTCTCCAAAATGTGATTACGAATTAGGTAATATTGCAATTTTTGGCATGTACTTCATTTGTGAACAAATTTTCCAAAAAAAAGAGAGTCTTTTGAATTTTATCTGGAAAATTTAAAAACTTCAAATAGACTTTCATTCCCACACAATATTTTTATGTTGACTAGAAATAAGATATAGGCTATTTCAAGGTCTCATTCATAAATATGGATTTATTATCTCCCTAGAAAACATGAAATTCTAATCATGCTTATCCTATCCTGTAGCTAAGACTGTGTTCTTCAAATAAAGAGAGAAATCACATTTAACAATTTGCATGTAACATTTAAAACCCAAAGCCCTTATCATCAATGTACACACCCTCATCACCGATGTACACACATGTCTATAATGTTCACTTTAAAATTTTAAATGACAAAAGATTATATTACTGATGCACACAACTGTCCACACATAAGTGAACCTCAGATATCAAGGGCTTTTGACATAATTAATTAAAAATAGTAATTATGTTTCATTTGATAAGAATTCAAAACAGCACAGGGTAGCTTGGAATTGTGTATATATTATTATTAAAAATGATAGTGATATCTGTATGTTCTTATTGGCTATAAACTAAGAACATACATATCACTGAAAAAACTGAAGTTATTTATTACAGAGAAAATTTAAAATGAATTATTTAAATTAACTTGAAACAAATCAAAATGAAAATCAGAATGCTGAACTTTTACACTATCTTTTATAATAAAATAAATACAACTTAAATACCACAATACAATGTAAAAACTAAAATGAGTTTTAATGACAGGCAATGAAAAATAACCATGTGTGTTGGATAAATGAACGAGATAAATTGTTAAGGATAATTTTAGCACTACGATTTTATAATAGCTATTCATAAAGATTTAAGTTATTGTGAATAATTTTAGTTAAAACATTTCAAACAGCATAATCTTCCTAATATTTCTTTATCAAGCAAAATAATTCCATTTCAGGTTAAAATAAGTATGGACTTAACATTAATTTCATAAGGAATATTAAAATCACACATGGAACTTTCTACTGGCTATCTCATCTTCAACTTATTTTTCATAGCTTTTACTAAGTTTTTAATTACTGATCATAATATGTACTGGATTACTTAGATGATAAAGATAAAACATTTATAACTGAAATTCAGGACTAGAATTTAAAATTTTATTTTTCCAAATTGTGGATCTGCCTGCCAATGAAATTATTTAAAACTTCATACAAAAGTAGTATGATCATAGGGCATGACCTCAGGATTGCATGTCACTTCAAAACTTCAATCTTTATACTATATTGATATGAAAGAAAGCATGACCTATGGATGGGAGCTAAATTTTATAAAGGTACAGGTAATATTTATATTTATATTTATATCCACAGCAACAATATTAAAACAATAATACAACAGAATTTTGTTAATAGCTAGATCAGATAATAACTAGGAGAAAGTCATGTTATATTTCAGTGGACTTTAAATTTTCCCATCTTTGCTTCATTCACTAGTTTTCTTTCATCAATTCAAAAATGAACAATTTCATGTGCATACTAGTGAAGCATTCCTATATTACTTTTGAAGTGGAAATTAATGTTTGCCTATGAAACTTTTCCCTTAAATTCTCTAAACAAAGCAATGCACACAGCCAAAATAACTTAAAATTTACATTTAACTTCCTACATATATGATTCTAAGATATGATTAAATCAGAGTTTTATGAATCAGATATTTTTAATGAAAAGGAGGGAAGCTACAAAAACAGAAATAAACCTACTTAGGATATTCTGAATTTTTATAGACATAGATGCCAGTGGTTTAGATTTGGGCTTGCAAACATGAACTATCTATAAACAAAAGCTAATGTCTGTGCTACTCTTATGATAACAGCATTATAAAATAACATCAGTATTTAAATTATGTAACTGTTATTAAATATTATTCTTAAAAATAAACTTTACCCTCATAATTTTACTTAACCTGAAAGGATTTCTCATGGACAATCCAATCTATGAGTATTTGCAAAGGATTATGTTGAGAGTAATGTTTTTCTTCAACTGCATAATGTAATCACTATGTTTCATCTGGTAAGAATTTTTTTATTTATAATGAAGGAAGTCACTCCTCTTTAGGGTTAAATATGTATTTGCCTTAATCCTAAAAAAAAAACTTTAATTCAAACTCTAAGAATAAAACCCAAATATTGTAATATATTTATACAATACCAAGTATACCAGGTATAATCTAAGTATGTAAAAAAATATTAGAAATAATACATTCAAAGAAAACTTACCAGACAGTTGTTTCCACTTGACTGTCATTGAGCTGTCGATTGTCCAGTTGGGCAAAAAGTGGGAAAAGCACTTGAATCCCTCCGATTGAATGAATTGCACTATGAATTGAATGTGTTACTATAGCTTTCACATCCTACATTCAGAAAACAAAAATGTTATCACAAGCATAATAGTATCACTATTTCCTTGTTCCAAATAACTTTGAAATACAATTAAATAACATTAGCTAGACATTTTAAAAACCTTCAATTATAATATTTTTGATGCCCATATAAAATAGAAATTTGAAATCTTAAGTTGAGAGATTTTTTACACTAAAAATATGAAGTTATAAATCAAGATATTTTTATAATAAATACTGTTAATAGATTTAAAGATACTCAAGGAATTTTATGTTAAGGAGATATACACTACTGTTCTTAAACCAAAGTATTTTTTATATTAACAACTATCTGTTCAGTTAACCAACTGATTTTATTTCAAAGGCTATAGAAGTTATGAGATATCAGAAATAACAGATATCCTATTAAGGAGACAAGTCCAAGGTAAAGTGTATTGCCGAAAAAAGGGAAGAAGGAAAAAATGTCATTCAAAAAACTAGAAAACCAAAAAGAAAAACAAAAGAATAGTTGTAGATTTGTAGATAAACAATGTTTAATATGTGAAACAAAAATACTGTCAACCAGGATCAGAACATGAAAACTATGTTACTATTCACCCACCTGGAGCATTAAAGCATGTGGGGAATGCACAAAAATTGATGCGTTTTCCTTTGGTGAGGATTCCAGGCATAGTTGAGCATCAGTGGCCTTGGCATTATACGTAAATGCAATACTAGTTGCAAGTTTTCCATCATATAGAACCTGTTTATGATGTTCTGCCAAATGAATATCACTCTCAGATTTAAACTTGAAGGTGCTCTGAAAAAATAAAGCTAAGTTAAATATTCATTTTAAAGGCAATATACAATAAAGCTAAGTTAAATACTCATTATTTTAAAGGCAATATACAATAAAACCCTAAATTTTTAAAGAACAGGACATTTAAGGTAAAAAAAACTTGTGTGACCCTTCCAAGTATTAATCCGTGGGATTTACATTTTTTTTATACTCACTTCAGTTCTATAAGAGTTAAATTTTATTATGCTAATAAACACATCTTCATTTTTTCATTCTTATTGTTTTTTACTATAAACTGTTTTTATTAGAAAACATCTAAAACCAGATTATATTAAATGTAAATAAAATTTTACTTTAATAATCTATAATATAAATTTATCTTGTTATTAAAGTGTACACACACACACACACACACACACACACACACACACACACATAGTGCCTGGCACATGAAAAACTTTTATGCAAGTTTATTAACATATTGAATACCAATGATGGTACTTCACAAAAACCTAATTAACCCCAAACAGAAATTCATGTTACCACCTGTTAGAATGGCTAGTATAAAAAAGACCAACAAGAACAAGTGTTGGGGAGGTTGGAGAGAAAAGAGAACCCTCCAATTCACTGACATAGGGAATGTAGATTGGTATAGCCACTATGGAAAACAGTCTGGCAGTTCCACAAAAAAATAAGAATAAAGTTATCACATGATGCACCAATCCCTCTCCTAGGTATTGACCCCTAAAACTGGAAAACAAGTATTTGCAAAGATATATGCATCCCTATGTACACTGAAGCATTATTCACAGTGGCCAAGACATGGAGATAATAAAAATGTACTTTGATAGAGGATTGAATAAAAAAAGATGTGGTACATATGTACAATGGAATACTATTCAGCCAGAAGAAGAAAACAAAATACTGACATTTGTGATATGGATAGATCTATTACACTAGTGAAATCAATTAGTCAGAAAAACCTAAGAACCATATGATTTAACTATATGTGGGATATAAAATTGAAACTTGTGGACACAGACCCCAGAGTGCTGATTACCACAGGGAAAGGAATGGGAAGGCGGTGGTTGGTGGAGATGAGTCTAATATATGGGGTCAGAAGATGGTTTGGTTTGGGGGGAGTGGGCACATACTACAATATACAGATCCTGTATCACAGAAATATAAACTTGAAACTTATATGGTCCTATTAACCAATGTCACCCCAATACATTTAATAAAATCTTTTTTTTAAATATTATAAACTTAAGAAAAAACATATTACCACTTTAAATAAGAGAAAAAATAAAAATATACCAGCTGTAATAAGAAGGGTATTGTTTGAAATATTTAAAATTTATCTTCATATATGAATCTGGCAATGACAAAATAAATTTAACCTTTGCAACAATGATAGGTTTTATATATATATATATATACATATATATATATATATATATATTAATATATATATAGTACTAGTGGCCTGGAGCACAAAATTAATGCACGGACGGAGGGTTTCCATAGCCCAGCCTGCACCCTATTCAATTGGAGACCCCTTTGAGTATGCCTAACTTCCAGTTTAGGCCCGGTCCTCTTGCAATCTGGGACTGCTGGCTTCTCACCACTCACCAGCCTGCCTGCCTGATTGCCTCTAACTGCTACCCTGCTGGCCTGATTGCCCCTAACTGCCTCTGCCTCGCCCCACACCCGGGACCCGGGCATCCCTCCCTCTGGCCAGCCACGGGCACCCAGGACCCAGGCCAGCTGCAACCAGGCCAGCTGCAGCCACAGGGGACCATGGGTGGGCAGCTTCACCCAGGCTACAACTGCAAGCTCCCAGGACCACAGGGCTTGTGGCTGGTCCCTCTCCTGGGTTCGATTCCGGTCAAGGGCATGTGCCTTGGTTGTGGGCATATCCCCAGTGAGGGGTGTGCAAGAGGCAGCTATCGATGACTCTCTCTCATCGATGTTTCTAACTCTCTATCTCTCTCCCTTCCTCTCTGTACAAAATCAATAATATATATATATATATATATATATATATATATATATATATATATATATATATTTAAAAAAAAGTTAAGTTCCCAGTGAGGCCCCTAGTTAGAAAGGGAGGGAGGGGATTGGGGAGAGGAGGAGAAGCCAAGCTGCCACTTCCCCACTCACAGGAAGGTACGGAGCCCGAGGCATGATCCTCCAGCCTGCTCACCTGCCCCTAAAGGGTGCTTCCAGAGAGACTGTGAAGTCTGAGCTCTGCTCCTGTGTCCAGGTGGGTCTGGAAAGCAGGAGGCAAAACCGTGCTCTGCCTGGGCCTCGGGGAAGCAGCTTCCTGTTTATCAGCAGAGAGGGTGGCCATGGGGTCTGAGGACTCCTCAGTGGTTGGAACCGTGAATAGGACCACTGGCCCAAGCATGTCCTGGGAGGCAGACACAGCCGGGCAACCATCTGACCTCATTGCCTGGACAATGATGCCAACATCCCACCCTACCACCGGTTAGTCAGCGCCTGTGTGTGTGCACGCTACCCACAGGCCCACTCTCTTTTTCGGGTTAATTTGCACACTCATTCCTGATTGGTTGTGAGTGTCACAGAGGTACAGTCAATCTACATATCTGCCTATTATTAGTATAGATAGTATAAGAGATATCTTGAATCCTCCCCTCCCCATCTTAACCCATCTCCTTCTAGCCCCAACCCATTCCTTCAGGTCTTCCCTACCATATTGCCTATGTTCACAGGCTATGTATATAAATATATTAAGTTCTTTGGTTTATCTCTACTCATCCCCCCAACGCCACTGGAGTTATGTCAGTGTGACCCATGCCTGGATGCTCTTATTTTGTTCATCAACTCATTTTGTTCATTTAATTCCACAAATATGTGAGATCATGTGATATTTGTCTTTCACAGATTGGCTTGCTTTACTTAGCATAGTATTTTCCAGGTCCATCCATGCTGTGCCAAAGGGTAAGATTTCCCTCTTTTTTATAGCTATATAGTATTCCATAGTGTAAATGTACCACAGCTTTTAATCCATTCATCTAATGGTATATTTCAAAATCCTAGCTATTATAAATAATGCTGGATGAACATGGTGGTGCATATATTCTTTCTGATTGGTGTTTTGGGGTGTTTAGGATATATTCCCAAAATTGGGATCATTGAGGTAAATGGAAGTTCCATTTTATGTATGTATGTATGTATGTATGTATGTGTTTATTTATTTATTTATTTTAGGAAACTCCACTCTGTTTCCCATAGTGGCTTCACCAATCTGCCTTCCCACCAGCAGTGAACTCGTGTTCCCTTTTCTTCACATACACTCCAGCACTTGCTGTTTGTTGATTTATTAATGATAAGCCATTCTGACAGGTGTGAGATGATATCTCACTGTGGTTTTAATTTGCATTCCTCTGATGATTAGTGAATTTGAACATCCTATCTAATAAAAGAGTAATATTCAAATTGACCATCACTCCACTACACCCACAAGCCAAACCCAACCAAAATGGCTGTGGCCAAAGAGAGCAGGAGGGAGGATTGGGTTTCCCCAGCAATGGAGGAAAGCAAGGTTTACACCTGCCCTTGCTGGCCCAGGCCTCCACTCAAGGCTACAAAGTTTCAATTATAGAAAATAAATAAATCCCAGATACCAGGGCCTCTGCTTGGGTCACTAGGGGGTGTGGCTGGCCTGCAAACCACCACAGGCCCCTCACTCAGGCCCAAAATCTCATTCTAACTTATTAGATTAGGCAAAGACTCAAAACCTCCAAGAATGTCTTCTGCCTGCAGGCTAATTGGATTCATCCTTGAGGAGCCTCAGCAATTGTCCAGAGGTAGGGTATGGTTTTTTAAAAGGGTGGGCAAATTGCTGCTGCCTGGAGGCTACTTGTAATTCTTAAACTCTAAATGGGCCTCAGAAACTCTATAGGATGGGGCAAGGGGTTTTTCAATAGGGTGGGTCAACTGTCTTCCCCCACCTCCCCCAAGAGATATCTCAAAAATCAAGAAAAATTATTAATAAACTAACATTACAACCTAATGATTTAGAAAGAGAACAAGAAAGCAGAGTAAGTAGAAGAAAGTAAATAATAAAGATTAGAGTGGGAAAAAAAAAAGACACAGAAACTAAAATAAATAAATAAATAAATAAATAAATAAATAAATAAATAAGTTCAATAAAATCAAGAGCTTGTGCTTTGAAAAGATAAAAAAGATTGATGAATGTTTAGGGAGACTCATCAAGAAACAAAGAGAGCCCTAAATATATAAAATCAGAAGCAAAGGCAGAAAATTAACAACTGACATCACAGAAATACAACAGATTGTAAGCAAATATTATGAACAACATTATACCAACAAGCTGGACAATGTGGATGAAATGGAAAAATTCCTAAAAAAATACAAGCTTCCAAAAATTAATCAGAAGAAATCAGAAAACCTGAATAGGCCAATAACAACTGATGAAATAGAAGCAATAATAAAAATTAAAAAAAAAAAAAGCCAGCAAACAGAAGCACTGGTCCAGATGGCTTCATAGAGGAGTTTTACTAAACATTTAAAGAATTAACACCTGTCCTCCTCAAATTATCAAAAAAAATCCAAGAGGCAGGAAAATGCCTATGCTCTTTCTATGAGGTTATCATTGTCCTAATATCAAAACAAGATGAACATGATACAAAGAAAGTGAAGTACAGGCCAATAGTCTTGATAAACAAAGATCTTAAAATCCTTAACAAAATATTAGCAAATTGGATTAAGCAACATATTATAAAGATCATACAGAATGACTAAGGGATTTATTCCAGGAATGCAACGTTGATAGAATATGTGCAAGTCAATAAATGTGATACATCACATAAACAAAGTGAAATACAAAAATCACAATCATATCAATAGATGCAAAACAAGATTTCACCAAAATCCAACAGCATTTTTTATAAAAACTGTCAGGAAAGTGGGAATGGAGGAATGATACCACAAGTTAATGAAGGGCATATATGACAAACTTATAGCCA